AACATAAATAAAGAAATAAAGGAAGTTCTGGCAAGCTGGTTTGGCAGGATGGGCACACACGCGGTAACGCGAACATACTTAAGAGCTGCAGGGATGAGAAGGACAACAACGGGAAGGACGGGCGAGAATTGAGCTCGCCAGATCAGAATTGGACAGGCCTCTAAAAGCCCTGGGCGACGTCGACTTTTGGCCGTCCTCACCCTTATCCGCATGGTCCTCCTCCTCCTCCTCCTCCTTCTCCTCCTCCTCCTCCTCCTCCTACTCATCATCAGCCTCATCCTCCTCCCACTCACCATCATCATCATCATCATCATCAGCATCATCATCAATATCCTCAACATCACCACCATCATCATCATCATCATCATCATCCCCATCTCCACCATCATCATCATCATCAGCAGCATCATCATCATCCCCATCATCATCCTCATCATCAGCAGCATCATCATCACCACCACCATCATCATCATCATTATCATCATCATCAGCATCATTATCATCATCATCATCATCATCATCATCATCATCATCATCAAATTCAGCATCAGCATCATCATTACCACCATCACCATCACCATTACCATCATCATCATTCACCATCATCATTCATCATTCATCATCATCAGCAGCAGTATCATTAGCATCGACATGATCATCATCATCATCAGCATCATCCGCGTCATCATCATCATCATCATCATCATCATCATCATCATCATCATCATCATCATCATCATCATCGTCATCATCCCTTCCCCCCCTCCCTCCCCTCGCGCAAGCTCTAAGATCCTCTGGTGCCCAGCGGTTCACGAAGCGCGTACCCTCTGGACATCATCACGGCGGGGCTCCTCCCCCAGCCCTGCCAAGGAGTTCTCCGAGAGCCGGTCCACCAGCGGTGGAGGAGGATCAGGAGGACGAGGGAGGAGAAGGACGAGGAGGAGGAGGAAAACCAGTGCAAACCCAAGAGTCATCAGCGATGTGAGAATAAAAACCTCCATCCCAGCTCCCTCTGCATCTCTCCTCAGAGGCCCCATACAGGATTCACTGCCACTGGGTGAACTGCCTCGTCGGAAGGCTACCGTTAGAAGACCCTGAAGCACGCCAAAACATTATTCTCGGGACTCAAACTCCACGAATCAACCTGACTGTTGCGTCTTGACGATCAAGAATTCTTGCCAGGGCGACATTCCTGGAACTTCAACACCGCGAGCCAACGTAATTGTTGCACCATCATAATCCTAGATCGTTCTAACACAAAAATTATGGTGCGTTGACCGTGGGAATCCGTGAAACTCTTGCACGGTTAAAAAAAAAGAATGTGCGGCGCTAAAGCGAAAGCCACATGTCGAAAAGGAACCGCCCTCAATCCGTGAAACTCTGGCAATGTTCACAACGAGTGCGCGCGGCGCTAAATCGAGAGCCACATATTGAAAACAACCCGCCCTCCATATGTGAAAATATTGTCAGAGTACCTTCAGGTCCATAAGGTAGAAACCTCATGCGAAACGCCCGGCCTGCCCTTTTGACCAGCCTCGGGGTGCGACGGGAAGAAATTATCAATAATAAAAAACGGAGGGGGAGGAGGAGGAGGAGAAGGAGAAGCAGGTGGAGGAGGAGGAAAAGGAGGAGGAGGAGAAGAAGGAGGAGGAGAAGAAAGAGGAGGAGGAGAAGGAGGAGAAGATGGAGGGAAGAGGAGGAGCAGCAGGAGGAGAAAGCGGAGGAGAAAGAGGAGGAGGAGAAGGAGGAGGAGGAGGGAGGAGGAGGAGGGAGCAGGAGGAAGAGGTGAAGAAGAAGATGAAGAAGAAGGAGAAGAAGAAGAACAAAACAAAAAAAAGGGGGAGGAGGAAAAGGGAGGAAGGGGAGGTCGGAGGAGAAGGAGGAGGACGAGGAGGAGAAGGAGGAGGAGGGAGGTGGTGGTGGAACTCTGCGTCTTGTCGATGACGACGTGCAGTGGCCCTTATAGTGGGCTGGCTCGAACCTGGCCTGTAGCCAGGTTGAGGGTATGGAAGGCCCGATCCCCTCTCAGGCCCGTCCGAAGATTTGGTCGACCCAGGCTGTCCCGCGCGTAGGCGGGCCAGCCCGAGCGGCGGCGGCACTCCTGCTGGACGGCAGGCACGGCCTGTGGCGCCACTCCTGCTGGACGGCAGGCACGGCAGCGAGCGCCTCGAAGGGACACCTGCGAGGCAACGGCAGTGCGAGCCCCGAGCAACTGCGTCGGGGCGGCCACGCAGGGGACACCTGCGAGGCAGAAATGCGGGCCGCCTGGCACGCCCGAGGCCAAGTCGCCAGCAGGCATGCGCGGGCAGCGGGCGGCACGCGCAGCGAGTAACGCACAGCGCCGACCAGAGTTAGAAGATTTCAGGGCGGCCTGGCCGCCTTCGGGACAGGTCCGCCTGCCATGCGGCCGTGCGCCGACCTGCTATAGAGGCGGCACAGATCGAAAAAGGATGGGCCGAGCTGGCGGCGGGCGATCCTCTCGTCGAGCAATGAGTCAACACATCGCACCGGCGGCGGAAGGGCGACTGCCAGCATGGCGTCGGTCTCAGATGCCGGCAGGGGGGTGGACTCAGGCTCAGAAGCGCCGATGGCCTCGTGGGGCCCCGCCTCGTGCAGCACGGGCTCCACGTCCTCCTCGCTGCCGTAGTCTGGAACGGGGACGCCTGCTGGCCAGGTCATGGCCTCGCCGCCCGTCACGAAGACGTGGAACCAGTGGCCATTGCGGAGCCCGAGATCGTCCCTCTCGACTCCGGCGGCGCCGTCCACGGCCTCGCTGCCGAGGGAATCGAAGCCCTTGTCCTCCTCCTCGGCGTGGGGGCCCGCGTGGGTGGGCTCCTGTGTGGAGCCTGGCCCAGGGCGGACGTTTTCGGCCTTGACTAACTGAGTCGAACCGTCATCCAAGCGCACCTGGTACCACGCCTTGACGCGGTCCACGGTCAGGATCACGGCCGACGCGCCGTTGAAGGACGTTGCCTCGAGGAGCCCGGCCAAGTGAACGCGATCTCCCACTGGGTGCAGCGGCCTTGGCTCGGCCTCGCCATCCCTGGAGTCGAAGCCGACGTCGCCCGTCTCCTCGAGGCTGGGGCACGGCGCCGGCTCTGGGTGCAGCAGGTCCTCGCTCTGCCCAGGCCTGCTCTCGGGCACTGCCAGGCTGGCAACTGCCGTGGAGGCCGCGCGAGCCTTCATCTGGCTCTGCTGGCCTGGCGGGAGGGGCGCACGGGAAGTCCTGCAGCGCCGCGGCAAGTGCCCCGCCCACCGCCTCGCCGAGCGTTGCCGCTGCGTGGGCCCGCATCCCCGGACCGTGCGGCATGTCCTCTTCGGCGGGCACCTGGGCCTCTCGCCTTGTGGCCGGCCATCGGGAGGCCGAAGGGCATCGCCTACAGGTGGCCGAAGGGCCTCGCAATCAGCAGGCTGGGGCGTCCGGTCGACAGGCAGAAGTACAGCGCCAGCAGCAGGCATAACTGGCCGATCAGCATCCGCAATTGGTCGACGAGCAGCGCTTCCGTCAGGTCGAAGAGCGTCGCCCTCGTGCGGTCGAAGATCAGCGCCTGCCGCATGCCGTAGGGAATCGCCGTCGTCCGGGCGCACATCACCAGCAGCGGACTGTAGTGGCTGAGGAACTCCATCGGGGGGCCGAGGGGCATCGCCTGCAGGTGGCCGACAAGCCTCACCATCAGCAGGCTGAAGCGTCCGGTCGACTGGCAGAAGAGCAACATCAACAACAAGTGAACGTGGCCGAAGAGCAACATTCGTAGAAGGCCGATGAGCGACGTCTGCGTCAGGTCGAAGAGCGCCGCCCTCGTGCGAATGTAGATCGGCACCTGCCGCAAGACGTAGCACATCGCCGTCGTCTGGCCGAACATCACCAGCAGCAGATGGGGGAGGCCGAGGGGCGCCACCCGCAGCATGCCGTAGAGCAACATCAGGCTGAACTGCACCATCAGGATGTAGTGCCTCGCACGCGGCAGGTCGGAGGGCGGCTCGAAGTCGAAGTGCAAGTACTGCGACATCGGCGCCCCGGATTGGCCTGCTGCGCCGGGCGGCATAGCCCAGGCGGCAGAGCGCTGCCGCCACGGGCCTCGGGGCCAGCCGCGGGGCCGGCGCCGGTGGCATCTCAGAAGCCATGGCAGGTCGGGGTCGCTGGGAGCGACGCCCTGGGCGCGGGCTGCTGGTCGGGCTGGGGGCGCCACAACCAAAACGCGCCGACGGGAAATGTCTCCGTCGGCTCAAGCCCACGCCTGGAGGAGGGAGGAAGGAGGGAGGAGGAGGGAGGAGGAGGAGGAGGAGAAGGAGGAGGGAGGAAGGAGGGAGGAGGAGGAGAAGGAGGAGGGAGGAGGAAGAGGAGAAGGGGGAAGATGGAGGAGGAAGGAGGAGAAGGAGGAGGAAGAGGAGAATGAGGAGGAGGAGGAGGAGGAGAATGAGGAGGAGGAGGAGGAAGAGGACGAGAAGGGAGGGGAGAGCAGGGGGGAGGAAAAGGCGCAGGATGAGCTGGGCGAGGGGCCGCCTCGAGGAGGCGCTCGGCGACGAAGGGTCGGTGCCTCCCGTGGCCCGCGCGCGATGAGCTCTCGAAAGGTTGCCCCGACCCGACCCGAGTGCCACAGCGAGCACGCCTCTCCTCCTCCTCCTCCTCCTCCTCCTCCTCCTCCTCCTCCTCCTCCTCCTCATCATCCTCCTCCTCATCATCATCATCCCTCCCTCCCCTCCTCCCTCCCTCCCTCCCTCCATCCCTCCTCCCTCCTCTCTCCCTCCCTCCTCCCTCCTCCTCCGCCTCCTCCTCCTCCTCCTCCAATTCCTTCTCCTCCTCCTCGTCCTCCTCCTCCTCCTCCTCCTCTTCCGCTCCTCCTCCTTATGAATAACCTCTCACTGTCGCACCCCGAGGCCAGTTGTTAGGGCGGGCCGGGCGTTTCGCCAGAGACTTCCTCGCTAGTTCTGACTCCGAAGCTTAAGCATGGCAACAACTTCACAGATAGAGGGCGGGTCATTTTCAAAATGTGGCTCTC